ATTGACATTTGTTTTTTAATCAGTAAAGAAATCTGTGTGCCAAGTCTATTCACATGGCTTAAACTTTAGACTTCAGAGACATGTACGAAGCACCCAGCTTTTCTCTGTATCTGATACAACTTAACTCTAAGCCTATCTAAAAACCAGACGGCGGACCCAGAAAGACCTGCGAGTTACATAGATCCATTAGACAAACTGTTGCATGTGTATATTGCAGCATGTTGTGAATGTCACACATGGGATTGGCATGTGTACACCATGTAGAATCTGTCTCAGGTTTGGATATCACACCGCACACTGGGGAGGCTGGCTTTCATTTGGCTAGCATGCCAAAGTCAGAAGGGTGGGGCAGAAAGAATATCATCAGCGTTAGAAGGATTTCTTCCTTCTCCCTTGCTCCTGGTGAAAACTGCTTGAGTGATGGGGAGAGCTCGGAAATATCCACTGTGTGAAGGAGGGGATATGTTAGCAAGACAGGCCCCTCAGAGCGGTTTCTAGCAAGAGTACTGTAAATTGTTTCCAATGTAATTTTAATTACCAAACTATTGTGTTTGAAGAGACCTGCTTCCTTCTTCTCATTTCACTAGTTTCACCTATTTGCATTTTAATATTACATGGCTGAAGAAAGATGAATAATCTTTGGCAAGAGGTCATAAAGCTGAAACATGTACTGAAATGGTTTATATAGCAGAGTTATAAAAATAGTACAGCTTTTAGAATTTAACTAAATGTCATTGCTAATCTGTCTCAAAGTTACAAGCACAACCTATTTATTCTGTACAAGAGATACAAATCCACGAACGTGTCTCTAAAATAAAAATCCTTATAAATTCAACATCATGGTGTTACCATATTTCTTTTTACTTCTTAATAAAGAAAACAGCTGGGTTTCTTCACTTCAGTGTCTCTCTTTATTATCTTTTTCCTCAGTAAACATTATCTCTTTTGCCATTGTTAACTTTCTTTAGCTTTTGACTATAAAGACAAAGTTAAAATATGTTTTTCTCCAAAAGATGTTCAACGTTATTAGTCATCAGGGAAATACAAATTAATTCTACAGTGAAATATCACTACACACTTTTCGAATGGCTAAAATAAAAATAACAATAACACCAAAAACTAGGATGAGGAGCAAGCAGATCTCTCATACATCACCTGTAAGAATGCGAAATGGCACAGCAACTCTAAAAAGTTGACAGTTTCTACAACCAAGTAGCCACTTTCTATATGTAAAAAGCAATTGCACTTTTGAACATTCAGAGAAATGAAATCTTATGCTAACACACACCTGTACATGAGTGTTCATAGCAACTTTATTTGTAAAAGTCCAAAGCTGGAAACAACCCAAATGTTTAAATAGGTGATGGTTAAACAAACTTGGTATATCTATACCATGGAATACTACTCGGCAACAAAAAGGAATAAACTGTTGATACATGCAACAATTTGAAAGGATTTAAGGACATTATACTTAGTGAAAAAGCCAGTTTCAAAAGTTCAAATATTGTATGATTCTATTTTATTATATATAGTATTCTCCAGCTGACAAAATTACACAGATGGAGAATAGATTAGTGGTTCCCAGGTAACAGGGATGAGAAGGGTGAAACCGCTGTGACTTCCTGGGGGTACCATGAGAGACTTCTTCTGTGGTAATGGGGAGTTCTGTACCCTGACTGTGTAGTCACTGCACTAACCATACCGGCACACCTCGCAGATGCTGACGCTTTGGCTCCAGACCGCTGAGGTAAAGTCAGTATCACAAATAAAACAAGCCACATAGATTTTTTTTGGTTTCTCAGTGCATGTATAAAAGTTCTGTTTATACTATACTGTCGTATATTAAGTGCATAATAGCTTTGTCTAAAGAAACCATTTATATATCTTAATTAAAAAATAATTTATTGCTGAAAAATGTTAACTGTCATCTGAGCCTCTTGGTAAAAATGGTGCTGATAGACTGGCTTAATGCAGGGCTGCCATGAACCTTTAATTTGTAAAAAACACAATATCTGCAAAACACAATATCTGCAAAACACAATAAAATGAAGTATGCCTATACATGGGACCAAATTGCATAGAACTATACCCACACACAATGGAGTGAAGGAAAAAGGAATGAAAACTGAATAAGGTATGTAGTCTAGTGAACAGTATTGTGCCAATGTCAATATCTTGGTTTTAACATCGTACTGCAGTCATAAAACAATGTCGCCACTAGGGAAAGCTGTGTAAACAGTTCAAAGAACTCTGTATTTTTGCAATTTCTTATGAGTCTATGATGGTCTCAAAACTATATTTTTCTTTTCAAGCTTCATGTATCAATTGTTTGTGACATTCTATCATATGTTTGGTGGATGAGCTGGAAGGGCAAGAGGACGGAGCGAGAGGGCCTCTTCAAGCCTGCTTGCTCTACATCTCTGTCATTCAGGGAATCAGAACACAAAAGTCATCCGGTGCTCTGCCAGCTACTAATGAAGACTGCCTTGTTGAAACACAAGTGCTTTGAAAAAGGACTGTTGGGTTACAGTCGGTCATTTCTTTCCTCAGAAACCTTCACAGTTGTCTTTTACCTACAAAATTAAGTCACGTTCTTCATCCTGGCACTGAAGCCCCCTACAATATGGTCCCAACTTAACTTCTTGACTCTGTCATCGTCTCTTCCTTCATGAGCACCCATGACTTCCATCTCTTGTCCATACCACGGCCTGAGTTGACTGTAAAACTCAAATTTGGCTTTCCACGGCACTTAGCCTAAAGACTCAAACCCTTGATCTGGCCATCAAGACTCATGGAATCGGGTCCCTGCCTCCTTCTCTAGGCCATCTCGTACCACTCTTCCTACACTCTCTCTGTCCAGCCACATGACCTTGTCCGCAAGCTCATCCTCGCCCAGGTCCTTCCTACCACAGACCCTTTAGCATGTTGCTTCCTTTGCTTGTATTTCTTTCCTTCCTAACTCATCTTCTGCTCCTCTTTCAGATCTCAGCTCCATCATCAGTTCTTTAGGAAATTCTCCCCCAACTTCCCAATCTAGGTCAGGTTGTTTTGACAAATGATCTGACAGAACTATGTTACTTCCCTTTAGAGCACTTATCCCCAGTTATAATGATACATCCTTTCATTTGGTTGTTTGAAAGGCTGTTTTCCCCATTTGACTGAAAACTCCATGAGAGCACAAACACTATTTTTTGCTCACAGGTGTGTGAAACACCTAATACACTGTATTAAACATAGAAATATTCAGTAATGATTTCTTAAGTGACTGATGAATCAAACTGGAATAACTGTTCTCCAAACATATTCCCCAGGTTTCCTGTCCCCAGTTTTCTATCATGCTCTTCATTTCAGTACAAAGCTATACACACATTTTATCCAATCTCCTAGACTCATCTGAAAAGGCACTTTTTTGCCTTGGCAAATAACCATCATCTCTGCCTCCTTTGGAAACTGTAGCACTTAGGTGTCTGTTCTCTTATAATACCTGGTATTATTATTATTAATAGATTGTGCCTCTTATCCATTTTACAAATTCATAAACTCCTGGAGGGCAAGGTTGATGAATTTCTCTTTACAGCATCTGCAATAACTAGCACATTTTTCAGAGGCTTAATTAAAATATTTTCCTTATTGATTAATATGAATAAAAACTGAAGGCAGAGCATATATTATGTGCTCAATTAATATTTATAGGAACAAGGGAAAATCATTGTAGGTCTTTGTTAGTTCTACCAATTTGCAATGAGTAAACAGAATTAAATTACTAAATAGCACTACAGGTATGGTTCTGAGAGCAAATGTTTTCTATTCTGACCATTGCTATTTTTTAATAGGTTTATTTGTTCTGAGTGGCAAAATGGTTCTAAAACTGTTAGATTTAACATGCTTTTTCACCTCCCCCATCCCTTGCTCAGTAAGTTATAATAAAAACCAATTGATATTTCAGTGGAATTATTATTTTTTGTCTTGCTACAGAATTAAAATAAACTTTTCATAGAATACAGCATTAAATAGGGGGTCAAATAGCTAATTTGAAGTTATTCTTTCTGTTTGTCATCGAGCATGTGGGAAGAAGCATGCAGTCCCATCTCTCTCAGGTTTAGATAGATCCCTATTCAACCTATAGAATCTAAATTTATTCAGGTGCTTTGTTTGCTTGTTTGTTTTTCCATTTTTGTTTTTGTTGTTTCTAAGCGAATTATTAAGATGGCAGAAATGCTGTTCAGGTTTCAAATAATAAGTCAAATCTAGTATGTAAACAACATTTTGTTTCATCATGGAACTTTGGAATGAGTATAAATTCATAATATTGCCATTAAAAGAGAAATGAGAGTGGAACCAAAATAGTCAAGCTTATTATTTATGATGTAATGAGGAACACAGGTGGTGTCTTGTGAAAATTGTGAAAACCTAAGTTAGACTTGTAATTGTGTGTGTGCATGTGTGTGTGTGTACCTACATATGTAAAAGAAAACGAGAGAGAGGAAGGAAGGAAGGAAGGAGTAGCTATTTTCATCCATAACATATTTTAGAAATTTAAATCTTGTCCTGTTAGGAAAAATTCTGTTCATTCAGATTGCAAAATCTCCCTATTAAAGACAGCTGAAAGAAAAGATTATTATACATTTTGATTAATCAGAATCCCTGAACATATTCTAAAATTGTTGTAAGTTGTGATTAAAATAATTTTATGCTTATTAATAATTCTCCTACTGACATAAAATTAGTTGGCAGTATTCATAGCTACAAATTATTTTCCTACATAGTAAATGATTATCATAGCGTATTAAGAATGAAGAGGAAAAAGATGTCCAATTAGACTTGAATTAGGAAAAAATAATAAAATATAGAAATAAAGTTCAAGTTAACTTTTATACAACTAATTTCCCTCTTGTTGCAAAACTTAAGAGAGTAGTGTTCAGATTCCTAAGCGACTAAACTGAAAGCAAATGACTTCTGAAAACTGATGAGGTTGTGGAGAAACGGGGCGCCGTCAGTACCTGGATACTGGTCAGAGTCGTGTACTGGTAGGCCTTGACCACCAGGTAATTGGCTTCCAGGTCTATGAGTCCCAGAATCATATACTTCCACCATCTTCGTCGTAAAATTGCCAGGAGGTTCTCTTCTCCTGTGTTACAAAGTTGAGAAGAAATGGGTTAGGTTCTAAACACAAAATAAACTGTGTACTTAGAAGGATTCCAAAATATTTTTGTATTATTGTTTAACCATGCCATCTCAAATGTTTTATTAAACAAATAAATTAATGTGTCAAAGGCTGACATGTTTTCGCTTAGCTAGCGGTCTTCGCTGTAGAGTCAGCCCTTCAAACTGGTTTCTATGCCAATAAGACTGGGCAGGTTTGGAGTTCACCATGCAAAACATTTTCTCATGGACATTTGAAGAAAAAAAATTATATTAAAATAAAAGGGAAGGCAGGCCAGAAAGGCTGCATAAATACATAAAGTCCAAATCATCCTAAACTTCAGGACTGTGGTAAAATAGAAATGAAAAGAGGGGAGCCCAGTGGACAAAAGGTTGGCAGCAGACCTGCAGTAAGGCTCCACGGCGCCATGCTGAGTGCTCGTTCAGCTTTGATTATGACCTACTCTGAACGTCACACTCTGGTGTGCGATGGGAAGAGAAGGAAGGTGGAGCAAGCACTCGGGTGGAAGAGCGCCATAAGACCACGGTCTTAATACTGCAAACAACTGTAACCTTCACCACCTTGCCTTTTAAACTGATAGCACCACAACAGAGTTTGCATTCCTTAGTCCTTCACGCTTGTTTTTATGTATTTCAGGCCTGAAATGCATCTTATTTCTCAAGGGGCAAACATGATTACTAACAACGATAGCTCTGTGGAGTCAACCTGTGAGGACTTACTAGAAGATGTAAAATATGCAGAAACATTATGTGAATGGTGACTATATTTGCCATGTATTATTGCATAACAAATTATCCAAAAACATAGTTGCTTAAAACAACAAATGTTTCTTGTCTCATAGTCTTTGCATGTCAAGAGTTGGACAAAGCTTAACTGAGTGCCTCTGGTTCAAGGTTTCTCGCTAAGTTGCAGCCAAATTATCAGCCATGGATGAAGTCTCATTTGAAGGGTTGGTTGGGGAGGAAGGCAGAAGTTGGGGGGGGGGGAGAGAGAGAGAAATTCAATATGGAAGCTGTAGGCCACAGTCTTTCTTATAACCTAATATCAGAAATGAGAATTCTACTGTATTCTTTTTATTTTTTCTTCTTTTCTTTGTTTTATTATTTTATTTTTTGATTACAACTTGCACTCAACACAATTTTGTATTAGATTCAGGTGTACAACACAGTGGATAGGTGTTCACGCAGGTTACAAAGTGTTCCCTCCAATAATTCAAGTGCCCACCTGGCACCATAGATAGTTATTACAATGTTGTTGACTGTATTCTTACATGTAAGTCAACTTACATTTCCATGGTTATTTTGTAACTACCAATCAGTGCTTCTTAATGCCTTCATTTTTTTCATCCCACCCCACAACACTCCTTTCATCTGGCATCCATCAGTCTGTTCTCTAAGTCTATTTCTATTTTGTCTGTTCATTTATTTTGTTCTTTATATTCCACATATAAGAGAAATATGGTATTTGTCTTTCTATGTCTGGTTTATTCCACTTAGCATAATGCCCTCTAGGTTCATACATGCTGTTGCAAATGGTAAGATTTCATTCTATACATGCACCACCACTTTTTTATCCTCTTGTCTATTGATGGGCACTTGTGTTGCTTCCATGTCTTGACTACTATAAATAATGCTGCAAAGAACATAGGGGGGAGGGTTCATATATTCTTTCAAATTAATGTTTTCAGTTTCTTCAGATATAAACCCAGAAGTGGAATTACTTAGTTATAAGGCAACTCTATTTTTAATACTTTTAGGAACCTCCACACTTTTTTCCCACAGTGGTTGCAGTAGTCTGCCTTCCCACCAACAATGTGTGAGGGTCCCCTTTTTTCCACATGCTCACCAACCAATGTTGTTTGTTGATTTATTGATAATAGCCTTTCTGATAGGTGTGAGGTAGAATCTTATTGTGGTTTTAACTTGCATTTCTCTGATGATTAATGATGATGAGCATCTTTGCCTGTATCTATTGAACAGCTCTGCAAGTATTCTTCTCTTTAGAAGAGTCAGTAAGTCCAGTCCACACTCAAGGGCATGTGGCTGCTAGGGAACAAGGATCATTAGAGGTCATCTCACAGGCTGGCTCTCTAGTGCCGCATACCTTCAGTATTATACCTGTGCTGCTACTGGTCATCAAGAACCTCAGTAGACTCTACACCCCTCCCTGTCTCTGGGTCAATCTCAGAACTTTGAACTCCTCCTGATATCTGCCTTTTGTGTTATTCCAATGAGCATCACATAGGTGGTCTTTTCAACCATATGGAGATGTGAAAATGAAGCTTTCCGGCTGTATAGAGAATGTCTATGAGGAGGTTGTGACTAGCTGGCAACAAGGAGGGAGAGGTCTCTTGACATTCATTAGCTAACCCAGTTTTCTAGACTCATTTTGGATACAACACTTATCGTATCTTTTGCTCCAAGCACACTGAAGAGCCTTCTGTCTCAGTGAATGGATAAACCCTATTCATCATTCAAAATTTAGCTATTCTCTGATGCTTTGCCTGGCACCACTCCCCAGCTGGGCAACTTTACTCAGCTTTGTATAGTCCTGTCACATGATTTTGACTATTTACAAATTGCCTCTTCACCAAACTGGAAAGTTTTGAATGGTAAGACATCAAATGTCATATATATATACCTATATATATGTTGTGGTATATATATATATACCACAACACCTAGCATACTGACATGTAGTAGGAGTTGGCTAAGTGTTTTGGAATAAATTGCCTTGAAAAAAGTGTGCAGTACTATCTATCTGAATATGTCAAGAGCCAGTTCTAGAATATGAATACCATTTATTATTGTTTTGTACTTAGATGCATAGCTAGTGAATATGATCCCCAAGGTCACTTCTTTACAGCCAGCTCATCTTGGCAATCCCCTTACACAGTATTTCTGCCTTTTTTACTTGCATACACATTTGAAAAATCAACACACCTCCCAGGATTTACCTTGCAAATTAGTGATTTTCAACCTGACTGAATATTCACATCTTCTTGAGAGATATTTTAAAAAATCCCAATACCTGGGACAAGCCACAGATTTAATTGGTTTTGGATGGGGTTTGGGGATTGGGTTGAGGATTAAATCTAAGCTTTTCAGATGGTTGACATTCCATGGCCATCCTCAGGATGACATGAGCTAGAAATTCTAAAGAGAGACAACCTCAGGGTAGTAAAGGTTCCTCATACCAAAGTAACAACCCCAACATTTGGTCCAAAGTATGCTTTCTCTTATCTTGTCTCTGGGCTTTTCCATGTGCTTGGATTATTCTTTCTCCAGTCTTCAAATGAAGAATCAACATAGACACTACCACCAGGAAGTCTTCTGTGATCTCTCCCCTTGATGATCTTAGACTGGGTTGGGTTTCCCTGTAATGTGCTCCTGTAACATCCTTTACAAGTCCTACAAATGGTACTTATTTCACTGCATTATAATGATCTGTTTTCTTGAGTCTAATAATCATAGATTGTTAATTTAAAGAGTAGTGTTGTATTGGCCATCACTTTATCTCTGGAATGCAAAATTACACAGTGATTACACAATAAATAGTACAAAATACATGAATAAATTTTATGTTTAATAATCTTAGCAATGTTAGATAGTATTTAAATCTAGGTATTTAAAATATATCTACTATAACCAATCATGTGACAGACAATGAAAATTGTTTTCTAGTTAGAATGTAGACAACATCTGACAAAATTAATTTGGTTACCATTCTACACTATAAATAGGCCATAAAAAAGGTCAATGGCGTATTTAACTACAAAGCTGCAATGCTATAATCACAGGCCATTGTCCCAGTTAATTTACACAATGAACAGAGAATTGTCAGACTTGGAGAATACCAGCCACATTTCAATATGTAACACTGAAAATCTGGGTCATGGTCTGTTTGTTCCGCCAATCAATAACATATTCAAAGTATAATTCATTACATAGATTCACAGGAATGATTAGTTGCCTTGCTGTTTTGCTGAAGAAGTTTTCAAAGCAAAACACCCTAAATAAATGCTTCCATATTATTTAACTTGAAGCACCTAAAAACATACAACATGCTTGCTTAGCAGGTTTATCCAGGATAGTGAGAAAGAGCATTTTTATTTTTGGTTGAGTAATAAATGCAACCTTTAAAAGGACTGCTTAGGGATTTATCTACATGACTCTCATTAACACTGATGTATAGCAGGCCATTAAAATTCTTTCTAGAATAATGAAAATGCAGTCTTTAGAGCCCTTGTACCAAAGTACTCCCTAAACCTTATGAAATAGGGCAGTTCATAAGAAATACCAGCACAACTGGTGGAATGTTAATGTTTTAGAATTCTTTAAAAAAACAATTAGAAAGAATAATAAAATCCATGGTGGAAACTTTAGAATTATGGTTTGGCATTTAGATGGATTCCATTAATTATTTTTATTATTATGTTCAAATATAAATAAGGATTATAGAGAATAATGTATAATGTAACCTCCAACCTGATTAAATAAATGTTAACATTTTGCCATGTTTGCTTCATGTATTTTTTTTTTGAGGTAGAAAATGTTACAGATAAAACTTAAGTCCCTGCACCCCATTCTGCTCCTGCCAGATTCCAATGCCTTCCCTCCTTCCTCAAATACCATCTTGATATTGTGTGTCCTTCATGTTTATCATATGCACATATCCAAAATAATATATAGCTTTCTTTGGTATTTTTTAAAAACTTTAAATGAAAGTTTTGTTTTATGCAGTGTACATGTCATTCTTCTGAGGTTGTTTACACTTAACATTGTTTTAGAAATGTACCCCTATTACAGCATGTAGAGCTAAGTCATTTTTTAAACAATGTATATTTTCATATTTTATGAACATGTCACATTTATCCAGTCTCCCACTGATAAGCATCTGAGTTCTTATCAATTTTTCTCTATTTGAAACTGTGCAGCAAAACACATCCTTGTGAGTGTGTATAC